GCCTGTGGGTGTACGGCACTCTTGAGCTGATTTTTAGCTCCCCTAGAGCTCTCAACTCCAGGCTGGGTTCGAGGCCCTTACTTGCCCAGACATAAGGTGATGTTTGTTGACAGCTCCTGGGAAGGCTGTGGCTTCCTGCTGGGCCCCTGTGGAATGGACTGCCTTGAATAGTGGCAGCTTTCTTGCCCCTGTGCAAGGCTGTGGTTCCTGCTGCCCAGCTTGTTCTTGCCAAAACTCATTCTGAGTTTGGAACACAGTTGCCTGCCTAAAAAATGGTACAACAGCACCGGTCATTGTGGCACAGTGCCACGTCCTGAACCAGTCAATGCTGAAGATGTAACATAAACCATGCGTGCGTGGTCTGTGGCAGCAGTGGGGTGATTGCAGACTAGTAAGAACTTATTTCTACTCTCATTAAGCCTTGGGGCTAAACATAATTAGACGTCAAGTGGAAGAGTGGGGGTTTCTTCTAAATGGAGTGGGTTTTTCTTGGTAGCCATAGGGGTTTTTGGTTTTCACGGTTTTTTTTAAATGAGAAAACCACTTGAGCAATAGACGAGGATTGTCCCATACACATGCCCATGGAAACAGCTTCAATACAAATATACAAAGGAGATGGGCGATGGGGGGAGCTGCAAAAACAAAATGAATCAAATTTGAATGTTGATTTATTAGTGTCAAACTATTTAATGCAACATGGAAAGGGGAAAGCATATAAAACAGTAAAAAAATCGATCATTAGGTAGGTACCAGCATAGGATCAAGTGATTTTAAAAGAGCTTTGTTAGTGTAAAGAACTTTTTTCCATGTTACCATAAGTATGGAAAAGGTGTAAGGGGAAGATTATTGGCCTTTGAACAACAGAAGCCTCTGAAATTTTCCAGGATAATTGTTTCTACAAAGTTATAAATTAATATTTGGGTTACTAGTTCAGTAGTATAGTGTAAAGTAAGTTATCCGTGCTGCTGTAAAACGCCTGTGTCTCAAAGTTCTTAAAAGACAGTCTACATGTCTACTTAAAGAAAAAGTAAACAAATCATAAGAAAAAAAAAAAACGTTGGCTAAGAGTCAGAGCCTTGTTAAGATACGTGACAGGAAAGCAGACACAAAATTGGAGGAAGAAGAAAGTAAAGAATATAATTAAAATGATATTTTCTCCTCTTTCCAGTTACCTGTCTTCTTTTGTTATTCATATATACTTGTTGAACTTGCATGTAAATGATTGATTGACTCAGTGAACTCACTGTAATAAATCATATTTGATGTGTTATCTTGAAAAAAATCTTAGGAAATTCTGTCTCTTTTCTTTGTCTGCTCACCTTGTGGCTTTTAATATCTCGTTTCCCATCTGTCTGATTCCATCCTAAGCTGAGCATAACTTTTCAGACCTTAATGCAGCTCTCTTTTTGTTCTGGTTTAAGTATGCAACACAAATATGTGATTTGGCCGTCAACAGTAATATCAGAAAGGAATGTTAAAGTGTGTGTTCCCTTTACTGACGTGAAATGAAGAAATACTTATCTGTGTAGATATTTGATAATACATATTTACAGTGAATAGATCTGTCTCTGCAAGCAAATGAATACAGAGGTGTCTGTATCGTTCTATTACGTTTCCTTTAATGTTACAAGTCCAAAGGTTCCTTGTAAGGATTAGTTCTTAATTAAAGGAGAAAAGAAATGGGTCTATAAGGTGTCAGGAAAGCAGTTTTAAATATAGATTTAAAAATGCTTAACTGAATATGCAGTACAGATGTACTCAAAGTTCATTTTGAGACATTGATTGTATTACAGATAGTCCTACTGCAAGCACTGTCTCTAGCAGTGAAGTCCTAACTGAATCTTGAATTACAGGGGAATTTGGAGAAACAGACGTATTTTGTTAAAAATATTTTTTCTAGGGGATATAATGTCTGTGGAAATGTTCAGTTGGGATATTTTTTTTCTGCTTATAGTTCATCAGTTTGCTTAACAACCTTAAGATATAGGTAGATAATTTTTTTTGGTGTTCTTTATTAAGGACATAAAATGTATATGCTGAAAGGTTTTTTTGGATAGTGCTTTTTCAGTGAAAGTAAATCTTTGGAGAAATCAGAGAGAATGAACTGAGCCAGGAAGAGAGGAAAGGGAAAAGCACAGTATTCCTGGGACTGTCTGTAGCAGTTTCATGGGAATGTAGAAATAGAATTGTCTTTTAAGCGTACTGAATTTTTTGGAGAGTTATTATGAAAGGGGCAAAGGCCACAGAGTTCACTCAACTAAGTATGTTTATACATAAAACACAAAGCTCTGAAATACTTACTTTGATGCAGTCCATATAAATTTATTTGATTGTTGATGATGATACTACTACTAATTATTTTTGACTGGCTGATTTCACTATGAACAAGTTACCCAACTCAGAGAAAGATGTCAGAGGAAACCAAAAGCTTTTTTCCTTCATAATGTATTGAAAAACAAGTAAACCAGTTTCAGCAGGATACATGAGCATATGCATTCAAGCAAGTGATCGGTACCTTGACTGAAATGGAATTATTTTTCAGACTAAGTACCATGTTAAACTGAGGCCTTGATATAGTCTAAGCAACTTTTAGCTCCAAAGTTGCTGTCTTTGCTAAGTTTCTGACTTCCCTGACATTTGCTGTCTAATGCTGTTGGAACAAGTCATTGAGCAGAAGCTGTAGTGGCACAATTCCACTATCTACTGAGCATTATGTTTTAATTATTTTTTTTTCTGTTGTACTGTGAACAAGTGCTTCAGAGAAATCTAGACATGTATGTTTTCCACTATTGAAAGAATTATATTCATCTCATTGAGAAAGCTGAAACAATTTGCCTCACTGTGTTAAAAATATTATTTTATGGATAGAAGTTTTCTTGTGAAATTTCTTGTAAAGAATTTTGTCTATGAAACTCATAGTTCAGTTTCTACAGCATAGAATATAAACAAATAAATGGAATGAAACTTTGGCTCCATGATATTCAATATCAATATTTTAGGATTTGTGTTTCACTAGGTTTTAATCCGCTGTGTCCTTCCCAGACATAAATTTGGTGTAGTGTTTCCTTTCAGAAGTGTGAGAAGTTAGATGCATGTATCACAGATGACATTCTTGTGTCTTTAAAAGTAAAAGCCCATTGTGGTGGTTGCATCTTAACTGTCAGTGAAATTTGTGTGGAATACAGCAGCTGTGTAGTGTTACACACGAATACAGAAGAATATCTAACGATTAATATTTCATCATCATTGCATAGCCATTTGCTGTAGTAGGAGAAATATCACTATGGAGTGTGACGCCAAATTGAAAAATGACAGGAACAATGGGTCTAGGTTATGTGTTATTAATAAATAACACACTTTTGTGACTCATTAAACTCTGTAATAACGGTGTGTTTCATTCTGTGTTACTGAGGGAAGTCGCAAACCAGAAGAAAAAGTCCTTTCTGCGTACTCCCAGATCCATTTCCTTAATTGCTGAGATTTTCCTGGGGACCAAAGGACAAACTAGACATTGTTCAGCATTTTACTGAATGAAGTGACACTGGGCTGTAATAGGCTGCAGCTGAAATACAACTACAAAGGGTTTTCGAACCGTACTCAGGAATAAGGCTTTGTATTTGTAGTTAGTATATATGGATACAATTTTTGGCAGCACTTTAGTTCTTATTTGCTGTATATTTTCCTAGGTTTTCTGCTGGACTAAATCTCTGTATCGATGATTTACAGTTAAATATTTGCTTTAAATGTGAGAGTGACATGTTCACATTGCCTTTTCAGCATATATGGGGAAAGGAGAAGAAAATGAAATTACATTATTTTTCCAGAAATTCTGATACAATTCACATATTGGAATGTGGATGGTGGACTCTGAATGTTTTCTACTGCATGTTTTGATGTAGATGAGACTGATTAGTAGTCACAGAATAGTGTAAACACTTGGGTCATCATAGCAGATTTCTTCCATTTAGGGGAGAAGTATGAAGAAAATAATATATTTTGGAAAAAATGGTCACATGGCCTATTGTTTAGGCGAGTAGTTGCACTTACTGGCACAACTAGTTAACAGCACAAAACAAATATATTGTCTGGTGAATTAGTGATAACCTTGCATGCAAACTGTAATGCTTTATTGCATTACTTGGCTTCCGAGATAATCACACACTGTATTTTCTCAAAGAAATAAGAATAAAGAATCTGTCATTGATTATAACAGAACCACTGATTTTCATGCATTACTGCATCATGAATGTTCACTTCTTTTTCCTAAGATATATTTGTGCTTCCAAAGTATATATTTATCTCCTCAAATTCTGGTTACTAAATTAGCATGCCAAATTTTTCACAAAATTAATCTTTTTCCACTTTTGTCTGAGTAATAACTTGATAAATCTCTCCTTATCTTCTAATGGCAGATGATTTATCAAGGCCTACCACTTAATTAATATTACAGAGCATGTGGGGAGCTGAAGAATTCAGAAGTATTTTCCATAGCTTGGACATGTAAAATGAGAAGCATAGGAGAAAACAGAACAATAATCTTGTAACTGAGAAAAAGCCTTTATGATTTAAGCATGGGATTGAGGTTCAGGAAATGGTGAGTTCTATCCCACAAATCCATCATGCTTCCCACTAGACTTTGGACAAGACTGATTTTTTTCTTTGCTGCAGTTGACCATTCTGCAAAACATTTAGGGTAATACTGTCTTATCTCTTAGGATAGTTTCATGCTAGATTTGTCTAGCATTACTAGTGTTATGGGACCTGTATTATTTGTTGAGTTTATTGAGTTGTACTTAAACAAGCATTTCCATGATACAGATACAGCCTGAATTTTTTCATATTAAAAAGGTCTACATAATATGCAATATATAAAGGATACTTTTGTGACATAAATATTTTAACTTATGTATCTCAAGCACATATAAATAGACAGAAATCTCAGAGAAGTTGTCAATGAAGTTTCAGCTTTCCTGAATATTTTACTTTTTCTCTATTTCCAGGTTGCATGTCTCACTCATGTAGCAGCTAATTACCTTAATTGCAAAATTGAAGCAAAACGCTGGGGTACTGCTCATGGGAGTATCGTTCCATATCAGGTAAGCAGAAAGCATTAGGGTTTTTTGCTGTTGGAGTTCATGATTTTGTCTATTATAAGACTGAGGATTTACTTTTCCCATGACCTGCTGTAGTCTGTAATGTGTCTGTCTCGAGGTAGGACAAAGTTCTGTTGTTCATTGTCATTTCTGAATTTTGCATATTACTTCATCAGCAGTAGATTAGTAACAGAACACTGAAATAGATCAAAGGTGTTTGCTGAAATTGGATGACTTTAAAGCTAGCATGACGACTTGATTGGTTTTCACCTGACAGAGAAACTTTTCTTTTTATTTTTCTAAGGGTTACCTGACTTCCATACCAAGCATAAACTGAAATATTTTGCCTCTGAATTTTGGTATTTTTATCTTGAGAGTCTACAAGAACAATCTAAATGACTGTGAATAACTGGGAGTTCAGCATATTTATAATTTTCTTTTGATTTTGCTACAAATCACTGTGGCTTAGTGAGACAACAGGTTGGCAAAAGGAATTAACCAGACCTCAGATCTCCCCAGCAGAATTAATCTAATGAAGGGTTGAAATTCCTTAAAATAACGTGACCTTCAACATATAAACAAGCACAGGAAAAAAAAAATACTGTAAGTTTAATCTTACTTCTGGCTATTATGGGAAATTCTTCCAGTAAACAAAGAAAATTTGGTTCTTTTCTAGCTGATCATTTTGTGTTGTTGAGGGAATTCATGCAAACTTAGGAATACTTGGGCATATATTTGATTTAAAAAACCTACTCTCTATTTCATAATTTTTGGCACTTATCATCAAATAATCATGTTTGCGACTAGCTAGGTAGAGCCTGGATTTCTTAATTTCTGGCTGGAATTCTTTAAATCCTGAGAGGAACAGTTCCCAGCATTTTTCTGGGAGAACTGCATCTAAACACCACTCAGTTTCTTTACCATCTCCTTTCTTTTTAGAGAAAGTGAGGGAGACTCGATGTGTTTTCTTCTTCCCAGTGGTGAAGATGGTGGTGATCATAACAGTAAAAGATTTGCTGCTCATGGCCATAGAAACTCAGAAGCAAAAATCTCCATCATGATGCAGAACGCTATCACAGGCTAATGTCACAGCCAGGCCTCCTCAGGCCTAAAACCCGGATCAGTTGTTTTTCTAAGAGCTATGCCTACTTGAGGTAGGAGACTTTTTCCAGTAGGCACCACTGCATAGCCAGCTATCTTGTTATGAACTAGCTAGAACAGGTTGCAGGTTGTCTCAGACCGATGGGGGGACGTTGCGGCACTTGCTGCCGGGGTGGGTTTGGTGCTGCAGTGTTCTTGTCCCGGGCGCAGCTCAGCACAGCTCTGGCCATGCTGCTCTCTGGTCGGCACGGCACAGCCGTACCGTCCTGTTTTCTAGAACCAGCTCAGCATGACCTGTCCTAACCACGCTTCCACTACACAAGTAGTTACATTCTGCTGTGTTCCTGCAGTGTGACCTTTTGGTGTAACCCTTTTTGAACTTTGGTAGGTTGAAAGTATAAAACAAATCTGAAGTGTCTGAAGTTTGTATAAGCAAAACCAAAAACCTGGCTAAACAAAACATTTTCTCTTCACCGAGTTTCATTTGGCTGAATAACTGAAGCTTGCATTCTTTTATATCCTTTTGCCTTTGTTTTCCACAGTCAAAATGAAAAGTAAAGCATGCATTGAGTATCCTTTGTTTCTTTTTCTCATAGACAGCTCTCTGGATATAAAAAATCTGAGGAGATTGTTTTAGCTATCTTCTGGTTTAATCTAGACTAGTCAATATGTAAATAACCACTAAAAAAAAAAATCCTATCTAAACTATGATTCCTGTGTTTCTGTATGCTGTTTCTGTAGCAGATATTAGAAATATTACCTCAATACTATAAACAATTTTAATCTGAATTTTCTTGCTCATAAACCAGTAATTAGGGTGGATTTACTATGGGTGGAGTTGTGTGTGTGTGTGTGTGTGTGTTTATGGCTCATCTGTTAACATTCCATCAGCTAGCATGGTTATAATTCTGATTGTAACCATAAGTATATTATGCTTGCTAGAGTTTATTTTTCACTTTACTGACATAACTATACATAGACTGCAAAGCTCTTCAGACACTGGAATTAACCCTCACTGTTGCTATCGTACTGCTTTTACAGTTGCTTCCGTAGCTCATTTGTAATATAGTTTAGAACAGAACTCAGAAACCTGACTTTCATCCCTTATCCTACTTACTGAATATACTGTCTTTTGCTTACTAAACTCATATGTGACTATCATGGTGCTGATTTTCACAAACAATGCTTTGTTTGCTTGTTTCAATATATTTTGTGCAAGTGATCTATAATTCGTTCAAGTCATAAAAATCGCGTTTCAGAAAACTGATTTTCTGTATATTTCAAAACAAGTATGTGGTAGTGAACTGTTGGTTTTTTTCTTATGTCTTCAACTTCATTTTGTTTTCATTTGCTGTATTTTGAGTTTTCACACAGGTAGTAAATTATAACTTTGAAGTGATACAGAACCTGCAATCCTGCTAAAAAGTGTCAGACTATGTTAAATTGTGGAAGAGTGGGTAAACGTGAGAGATCCTTTTATAGATATTAAAAAGGCAAAATCTAAATAATTTAAGTCATCTTTTTGTGTGGCAGAAGTCTGATAAGAGTCATGCTGGACTACTGACCAAAATTTAATAAAGAATATATGTCAAAAGAATCTTAAATATGTACATAAATAGTACTTCTTTTTACTTACAGTTGTTACAGTAAGTGTTCTAGTTCTCTGTTTAACCCATTCAGTAGTGTATACTGAATGCTATTGTAGCTTTTCTTTCACTGAGCTTCAGTTGAATATTTTTGTTCAGAATATCTTTGCAAATGGCTCTACTTTTTTCTATTTACAGGGACAAATTTAGCTTTGAGTATGTCTCTGTAATTTCACAGAATTCCCTGTTTCTTGTTGACTGAAAATCTAGCAATGTAATTTGTTCCTGAATGTGTTCTCTAGAGTGAATTTTCTTACTTTTCGATGTATTTAAAAACATAAAAACTGAGCATTAATGGGCAGCTGGATTTTCTCATTCCAGAAACTATCAAGATGTGTAGCACCTTTGAAAATCTATCTCAGGTCTGAGCAACAAGCTCTTGATAAAAGAGATGTAAAGTTTCATGTGCAAGGACTTTCACAGACTTCTAAGGTTTTTCCCATTGGCTGATAATCTGCTGACTTTGTGGCATGTTCATCTGAAATGTCTGAGTTTTCAGGTCTGTGTGCTCATCACCAGAACCCAAATGAAAGGATTTGGACTTCATCTAAGTGTATAATGACATTTCAGGGTCCTGCAAAGCTGTCTGTAATGGTTTGCCATAGGTTTTCGATGAAGGCGTACTTTGCAGTGTGCCACAAAGATGTAGAACTCTAGATTCTAATCAACCAAAATCAGAAATAGATTTTTGAGTGCTGAACCCTTCATGAGAAATTATCTACTTTGAGCATATCTGCTTTTTAATCAGAGTGATGTAGTTTGAATAGGTCACTCCTGTGATAATGCATATAATCAGATCCCAATTTGCTCGGTTTCAAGTGTTAAAACACAATCCTCGAGTTCTGGGCTGTATCTCGAACGTAATTAGTGCAATTTTTTTAAACAAGTTTCTATAATGAGACACCTTGTTTAGCTACAGCTGCTCCATGATTATCCAGAGGAAATCAGGGGCTTAAAAGCATCCGGTTTACATAATTGTGCTGAAAAGTAAAGTTGTATTACTGTCTTTCATTTGGGGTGATAAGGTCTCCCCTCATTCTTGTGGTTTCAGCAATGTACCTATCGCGCCTGTACTGCGTGCGAGAGCTAGCTGTTTGCTTTTTCATCTTCCAGTTGGCCCGCTCGGAATGAGTAGTCATTCTTCTGAGAAAGCCTATTGTAGCCTGCGTGTTTACAGGATGTTTCCTGTGCAGCTTATCACCCTGCCATCAGACACCTGGACAACTGGGCAGCTCTTTCAGAAGCAAACTTTCAGCAAAAGGTATAGGGCTGTTTTCTTTTGGGCCATAATGATGAAAGTCTCTCTCTTTAAAAAGTAAGAAAACAAGCTCTTAGAGATATCCTGCCACCTCCCCCGCCACAAATATGATATTATTTCTATTCCAGATTTGGTCCTAAGACTTTACAGGGTCTTCTCAAGTATACTTCAGTATATATTTTCAGAATACGCAAAGGGCACAACCATTCTGCACAGAAGTTGAAACCATGACGAGAAAGAAATTATTACTTCAACCAATTACCTTTTCTGTTGACTGACCTGTGCATTGTCATAACTCATCAGACCCAACATTAATGTTCTTTATATTAGAGCATCACTTAGATTCTTTAAGCATCAGCTTCTTGCTGCGCGAGGCATAAAATTTCCTTCATATGAGGAAACTGTCTCTTTGTGAAAGGCCTTGCGGTTGAAATGTGTTAAGCATACCAAAGTATAAGCTTACAAGGATGTGAAAGGTATGAGGTAGTAGGAAGATGGGTATAGTCATAGATATAAATAGCTCTGCATTATTTATAGCATCTGCATCTCATAATTTTTGCTTGTGGAATTTCATCCTGTCCAGGATTCTTACAAAGCAAATCCCACTCATGTCACTTGTGTCTCATCACAGGAACGGTGAAATGCAGTAAGTTGTTACTTACCTGGTTCAGCTGGCAGAGATGCTTTTCACAGAAAGGCACAATGTGCACCACCTTTCCTATCTCAGGTCTGGAGAATCTCACAGTCCTTATTCCACACAAGTATCGTTATGTGTAGCCATTTCCTTTCTGTCTTCATGTGGTTCTCTTAGGATACTTCTGCAGTTAATGTGCCTTGGAGTCAAAATCAACAAAGAATAGAACTTGGATCATTTGCAAAATTTTTTTTTGTGCATGAAACTCTCCATCTTAAGTTACTCCAAAATGGATGTTATGGAAGAAAATCTTTCTTCTCTGTAATGGTTCAATCTAGGAAAAGATGGAACTTATGCACAGGAA